GGAGGGGCGAATAAGGACAGGGAATAGCTTTGTCTGTATTTATCTGAGCTGCAGGATGTGATGCCAAAAGGAAAAAGAGGTAAACTAGTGTGTGCACATATCCCCTGGAGGGAAAGGACAGTGTGTTATGAGAAAAGACTTTGGAATTAGAGCGCTCATTTCAAAATCTCTACTGGATCACTTATTGCCTAAATGATTTTGAGAAATTATTTAATTCTTTGAACCTTTATAATCATAAAACTGTGAATAATAAAACTCTGCTTCTCAAGATGGATGTAAGAGTTGCGTCAGACACTTGGGTATAAAAGTACTTGTAAACTGTAAAGTTACTTGATTTTAGGTGGTGAAGAAGAGTCATTGGGTCCACCAGTTCTCTGTGCTGACCAGATCTGGCCATGCTGACGTGAATTTGTTGAGCTCCACTGTGGAGCAAGCATTGTGGTTGGTGCTTTACATGTTACTTCAGGGAGGAAGCAGGAAGTAGTTGCAGGGCAGCTGGACGTCAAGATGGTAGCAAGCCTAATAATTCTAACGTATGCTGTGCCAGTACTTGAGCACTGTTTACTTTCCCTTACATATGGCTACAGATTGTCTAAACGAACACGTGACTGACTTTGGAAACAAAAACAATATATTCAGTTACTGTGTTCTTTCTCTGAATATCGCCTGTCATTTGCGCTTTCGCCATGACATTGCTATTAATCTAAATTTCCTGGATTTTTCTTAAGGCTGAAGTAATCATTGTTTGGCAGTAAAGACTTATAAATAGTATTACAAATTCTATTTTTAAAGATGCCCAGGGTATAATATTAGAACTAATGCACATAGTAAGTGCTGGGTGCAGTGGCTCACACCTGTAATCCCAGCTACTTGGGAGGCTGAGGCTTGATGATCATTTGAGGCCTGGAATTGGGATCTGCCTGGGCAACAGAGCAAGGCCCCAACTCCAAAAAATACCAACCAACCAAACAAAAAGCACTAATTACTGTAATACATTAGTTGAAATCTAAGTTCTAGATACTATACAGATCCCTTTTAATAATATTTGTATGTGTGGTTCACTGATAAATGTCTAATTAATTCTTCCATCAGAAATGGGCTACATTTTAATGTGTAAAATGAAGTAGTAGATCAACAATTATTTAAGAAATTCAAGCTGTTTGTACAAACATGTATGTATAAAAATCAGACTCTACCCAAGATTGCTGTATTTACAAGATAATGATCAACAGAACTCTTCAGTGTGTGAACTGTTAAACCTAGAAACTGGAGTGGACCCAGAAATCAAGAGATGTCTTGGGGTCAGGCTTGAATTAAAAAGTAAATATTTAATCACTCTTACCAAAATTCATTAGGGCTTCAATGTACAGGATACGTGCTAAACAAATGAAGAAAACAATCTTCAGAGAGTTTAATTATGAGTCAGTGTTAAGAACTTTGACATGCATATAATTATTTGGAAGTAATGACGTAGACAGCATGAGCACTCAAAGGCCACACATAACTGCCAAACCATCCTTTATTGAAGGGTTCCAGATTTCTGTGAGGGTGATATTGGGTCGTAAAATTGACCCAACTTGAGTTTTTTTTCAATTTAGAAAAATTTATTGAACAGATAATATCTTTGGCATCATACTAGGTCTGTTTGAGAATACAAAGTAATTTTAGGATACATTGCTTCTGTTTAAGGGACTTATGCTACCTGCAGGGAGTGCATTATATATCTACGTGACACTGCAAAAATAACGAGTATGATATCAAATAATGCAAAATACGAACCCTATGTGGTCAATTCATATATAAACCTTAAAGAGTACTTGACAGAATCGGAGAGCTTGGATTGATGTTTAGGCTGCAATTTACTAGCTGTGTGACCCTCACCTCTTTAAGCCAAAATTTTCCTATTTGTAAAGTGAGTGTAGCTTCATCTGTCTCCTAGGACTGTTGGAAGGATCAAATGAGACAGAGCATTTAAAGTGTGTTAATGCCTTATGACAGGGACTGCACAAATTCTGGGAGGGAAGGAGGAAATACGTAACACGTGTGGAACTGCACTTGAGGGTAGAGACCGTGTCTTAATTGACTTTGTGCCCCCAGCGTCTGGCACTGTGCCTGGCTCTGAGAGGAGGCTCAGTAAATGTTTGTAAATGCATGCATGCCAGGCACTGTGGTAAGCCCTTGACAGGTGTTATTCTTTAAAACTTCACAAAAAGTTGTGTATAGTAGATATATTGACTCCATTTCACAGATGAGGAAACAGAAGTTCAGAGATTTTTAAGCAACCTCCAACCTCATGTAGGTAGGATGTGGTAGAGATAGGAAGTGAAATCTACTTGGCACAAGAGCCCACACTCTATTCGTTACATGATGTGGACTCTTGGATGTAAGGGAATTGTCATTATTCCTGAACAATAGTGTGGCCAAAATGAAAAGCAAAGACCTTGGATAATTCACCAGATGCCCAGGCAGCTCCTGGGCTGGCTTTCAGATAAGTAGGGGAACATTCTCCTGAACTGCCTGACACATTTAATGTGGCCTTTTGTTAAACTGTCAGTTCTGACTTCTACCCTTTGAAGTAAAAAGGACAATAGTGAAAAATACCATATAATATACCATAACCTGGACTTGTCATAGGGACAGAATAGAAAGGAAGGGCAGTGAGGAACTCACAGTTAATGAAGTGGTTAACCAATGACTTGGATTAAGTTTGTTACTGCCACTAGCAGCCGCCCCTACCTTCTCTCTCTCTCTCTCTCTCTCTCTCTCTCTCTCTCTCTCTCTGTCTCTGTCTCTGTCTCTCTGTCTCTCTGTCTCTGTCTCTGTCTCTCTGTCTCTTACTCTGTCTTAACTTTCACTACTAGAGTTGGCAAGGTCTAGAATTTTCACTCTCTTCCATGTTAAGGATGTTACTGAACAGTGGAATATGTCATGTTCTTCATTGCTTGTCCGTTCCCAACATCCCTATAGCCTCACTGCAATAGTTGGTTCTGTTGACGTGAAGTTTTGCAGCCATCCCCAGTTTCTAATGAACAATACTAAAATGGCCCCTAGCAACATGGTAATGTTAAAATTCCAGCCTCTGCATCAGGAGACAGAATGCAGAAGTTGATACTAGACTACCCGATCTTACATGATTTTGTCCTCAGTTTATTTCTGAGGAACAACAGAGGAGCCTTAGATACAAAGATTTCTGTAAGAAGCCGAGGGAAATACATTTTTAAAAATCCTGATTCATGTTAAAGCTTCTGTTAAAATATAGTACACGGTAGGTCAGGACAGCAGAGACAGGAACTACGTAGAAGTCCTGAGAATACCTTACACTGTTGTCAGAATCCAGCCAGTGACAGTGTGTGGTTTCCCGGGGACTGCGCTAACACACCTGAGATGAAACCTGGTGAGGAGATACTTTCCACATTCCTTTCTGACCTGTGGTGAGTCTGCTGGGGTGAATTGTGTGAAGTTGTCAAAGGTTGCTCTGCTCTCCAGCACTTGGCACCGGCTCTGCTGAAATGTGATGCCATTGGTTTTCAGTAAAGGTTCCTTTCTGCAGGGCTGCAAACACAGATCAGCTGCTACTGTGTATACACAACCAGGGAGCAAATCAACCAGCACATTTAAAGCAGCCTTTTTAACCCTGAGACTTTCCAAGATCTCCTCTTCACACAGGAAGTTTCCTTCTCTGTTGTCAGATTTAGCACTGTGCTCTTGTCATCAGATCCGAGCTAGGCTCCCTGCTGCACGGTAGAGAGGCTTCCTTAAGACATTTGTCCTTGAAACTGCACCAAACTCTTGGAAGAACCCAGAACGTGTGAGTATGTATGATTTAGGCAGCAATAGTACAGGGCAAAGCTGCAATCAACCATTATACAATATCCGATTAGCAGTGCAGGAGGGATTTTTCCGACGTTATGTTACATTCATTTTCAATTCGTTCTGAGGAAACAAATCAATTCTAGCTTCTGATACAGTGACTTTGCAGTAGACGGGGTTGTAATATGTTAGCTTTAACTATTTGCTGTTCTCATTTAGCATTTAGATGTGACTTGTGGGACAATTACTATGGGCATTAAACTATAAAACTTCTAAATTTTTATTAGGAATTGTAATTGTTGAGAAACAAGTTAGCTTTGGGAATGTTTTTAAAGAATTAACCACATAAATTCATAGACAACAGAATGAATTTGTGCTGTTCTTGCTCTCAGTAAAACATATTAGTTTGCAGTTTTAATTTACTCGTAAAGAGCATTCCACTCAGGTTTTGTCTTAATTGAATCCTACCCAGTGCTGTCTGTTTGGTGTTTTACTGTCTTGTATGTATCTGTTTAAGTTACTTTGCTAGGATTGCAGTCTGGTTAAACCTCTCTTTAGCCACTGCTTAGATTCTAAGAACATTCAGCTCAGATAAATGCTCATAGAAATTTTGGAAAGTGGTGGATCTGTTTTCAAGGGTGGTCGTATTACCCTTGAAAGCTTTTTAGATGCGCAACGTGAGTGGCTGTCAGATGGAGACCACAGACTGAACATTCTGAGGCTCTAAGTCAAATCTCGGCTTGTCCACTTTTGTAACTCCAATTAACTCCAACCGATAAAAGCCCGTGCTCCCTTCCTATCAATTTTTAATATGCAACAATACTTATGTTTATAAGATTAATTTCTCTCAGGTTAGTCTGATTGATAGCTGGATTGTGGTTTCTTAAGAGCTTGCTCCCTGAAACCCACAGCAGAGCTGCATTCCATTTAACTAGTGAATGTAAAAACGGGTAACCATGGATTCAGCCACCACTAACTGCCAGTGCAATGACTTGTTGTAAACAATACAAATGAGCCAGGAGAGCAGAGGCAACCAGACATGAAATGATTTTAATAGAAATTACGGTAAAAGGTCATGTGATTTGGTATCAGCTTCTGTTCAGTTTTAAAGGGAAAGTCTTTCTTTTCTCCCCCTTCTTCCCCCCTTACCTATTTCCAACCAACCCAAGTGGCTATCTCACAAACTTGGCAGGTCCCACTCTGTGCTTCTATGGAGAAGGGCGGCCAGTGTGATTTTGGGCAAAGTGTGGTGACTTGTGGATTTTCACTGGTAAGTACCTTTATTTTAGAAACAAAAAGGAAGTCTGTATTTCAGGACTTCCTTTGTGGAAGGTCATGCTAATTGCGTACTAGAAGTTCTCAAGTCTTGACACAAGAGGAATAGGTCATTTCGTTCCTCAGCTTTTAAATGGTACAACTGTCTCTTCTCTCTCATCCTGAGTCTCTAGATTAATTCATAAACTCGGTCTTTCTGAAAACTGTTATTTGCTTTAGAAACAACTTCTGCAATATGGTAATACGCATATGCAGATACTGTGAGAAGTGCTGTGTCCTAACCTCAGGGTTTTCCTCCATCCACCCAGTTATTTTTTGAGTTCTACAAGGACCAGATATTACAATAATATTTGCATTTCTTTGGTAGAGGTGGTTTTGGTATGTGAAAATGATTGTATGCTTAAATTTGCATTCAACCAAGAAAAATAAGCAAATTATACCTATTATACCTGTGTTGAGTGCTAACCTCGTGGTTGGTTTGGTGTGCTGTTACCTGCTATGCTTATTTCAAAAAATAAATGAAGGAAGTCTAGTAGCCAAAGTTAAGGGGGGTAAAGGGGACACTTGGAAGCATAGGCGTGTCTTTATCCAGATTTGGAGGGTGGATCTAGCTAGTACATAGCATGCAGGAACGAAGATGCTCAGAGTCACAGTCTCAAGCAAACCACAGGCACTTTAAGCAAAGGACTCTGTCTAGGTGTGCTGAGCCTCAAGGTGAAACAGACCTGAACCAGTTTCTTGAACCATACCTCCTTCCACACACAGATGGTATAAATAACTGTGTCATCCTGAAACAAAAGATAATGTCTCTTTTAACTCCTTTTTAACATACAGATTCTTCTGAATAGATGCATCATTGTACATACACAGGTGTCATACTGAATGGTAGAATTTCAGGTGTGCAGTTTTCTATTAATACCTCTGCTGTGATAGAACCAATCAGCACATGAAAAAAGCATGAGGGTTATAATTTAGAAGCTCAATAAAATGTAAAAGCATCAACCCCCTCTACATACACTCCAGGTTTTATCTGGCAAACTCTTTGTTTAGAACTATAAGTGCTAAGTGTTAACATAGTACTTATATTTAAGTTTTTTTTTTTTTTAATCTTTTTAAGATGTTGGAGAGCCTGATTGCATGCTTAGACTGAAAAATTCTCCAGAATATCATGATTAATGCTGTGGTCTCATGGTGTGTTTTCTATTCGAATACCAGCTATGTTTATCAAAAAGATATAAAAGAATAAACTCTAGTAATTAATCTTATGTGTGGGGGGAAGGAACAAATTGAAGCAAGTGTGGAAACACCAAGTGTAAGTGAATTTTGGGGTAAAATATAATAAAAATATGCTGTTTTTACTTTTCCTCACCTTGATTCTCCAAGCTGAAATAAAGGACTAAAAGTGTTAGGTACAAGGTGATTATGAAACAAAATATTTGGAGTCAGACATGGGTTGGTGTTTTGCTCTGGACCTAACAATGTTTAAGATTTTAGGCAAAGTTGCTTCACCTATCTATCTTCCGTATTCTCATCTGTAGAGTGAGGGTAATAATGTATAGCAATGTTGGTTGAAAGAGTTACACGGGGTAACGTATGGAAAGTATTCAGCACCATGTCTGGCAGAGTAAGTGTCCAGCAAACTGTTGCTGTTTTCATTATTACCTTGAACCTTGGACAACATGGGTTTGAACTGTGCAAGTCCACTAGTGGGTGGATTTTTTCCTTTTTTTTTTGCAACCTAACACCAATCAAAACTACAGTATTTGTGGGATGTGAAACCCATATACAGAGGGCTGACTTTTCGTATATGTGGGTTCAGCAGGGCTGATTGCAGGATTTGGTTATGTTTGGGCTTTGGTATATGCAGAAGTCTTGGAACCAACCCCCAAGGATACCGAGGGATGACTATATTTTTGATTGAGGAAAAATGCAGTGAAGTAGAATCCTGCTCTCTGTGCTTCACAGAGAAGGACGATGTTCACCTCATTGTGTGGTCCTGTCATAGTGACGATTTCACACCACAGTAACTTCCATCACTTGGGAGATGGTGATTCATTTTGTAGCACAGTATAGTATTTTATTTAACAAAAGTATTTTTTTGAGATAGGGTCCTGCTGTTGCTCAGGCTGGAGTGCAGTGGCACAAACATAGCTTACTTCAGTCTTAAACTCCTGGGCTCAATTTTTTAAAACATTTTGCTTTGTTGCTCAGGCTGTTCTTGTGTTCCTAGGCTCAAGTTATCTTCCTACCTTGGCCTCCTGAAGAGCTAGGATTACAGGCATGAGCCACACTGCACCTAGCCTGTGTCACATTATTGCTAAAAACCAAAAGTTATATATATATATATATATATATATATATATATATATATATATTTAAATTTTCATGCAACTTAGAAAAACTAGTTGAGTTTTTCTTTTTTTTTTAATATTTGGGATTTCTGATACTGTGGATATTGAGGCTAAATGCACCTTTAAGGTATGATCCTATAGGTAGAGTTAAGGTAGAGGGACATTTAAAGGCACTCATAATTATACCAATCTAAAAGTTTAAAAGTAGGGGTTCACAAAGATAATCATATATACTAAAGAATAGTAATAATTAGCCAGCTAGTAAGCATGGAGTGTATATGCTACCGAAGATCTACCTCTTGGGAATATTGTCTATGTGTTTACTGTGTCTTTTGACCTTCCTGAAATCTAAGGGTCTCATTCTTTCATTCTTCTCTCCTGTTGCCCCTCCCTTGCTCTCTTCCCTCCCTTCTTTATTCCTTCTTTTCTTCCCTTCCTCTTTTCTTTACTTCTCTCTCTACCTTCCTCCTTTCTTCCTTGTTTTCTCCCTCCTTTTCTTTCTTCCTTCTTTCCTTCCTCCCTTCCAGCTTTTATATATTGTCCCAGCTTCATAACATTTCCTTTTTATTCGTGAATCAGAGGGTTCAGGAAATGAAAAAAGAGGGACGGAAGACCCACAGTCTTTTGATGCCAGCCCTGGTTTTATAAATGGAAACTTGAAGAGGAGTCAGAAAAATCCGTTTTTCTTTCTCCTGCTATTGAACAGGAGAGCCACATCTGAAGTGACCCCGCAGACCCCAGGGAAGCCTTGCTCAGTAACTATTTGTTGATTCATTGATTAAACGGCACGGAGAGAAGGGGCATCAAGCACGGAGATTCCCTTAGTAGTGAAAGCTTTGAAACCCCAAGCTGCAATGTGCAGTAGGATGGCTTCTCTGTGACCTTCCAACAACTAATCTCCTTTAAGAAGTGAATCAAAGCAGTTAAGAGATCCCGTCAGATGGATTTTGCCTACACTTGGGTTTTTGGCAGTTGCATATAGAAGGCAATACTCTTCATGAGGATTTTTTTTGTGGTGGTTGTTCAGAAAGGAATGAAGACAAGGTGCCAGCAGAGATCTCTAGAGAGAGACCCTCATTTAGCCATGGTCCTCTTCAGGCAGGGACAGCTGCAAGGTGGATGACTTTCTCACACTTCCCAGCCAACCTTCTCTTTAACGACCCTTGTCTGGTACTATAGTCAACAAGCACATCACTGTGGTGGGCTTTTCTGTGCAGTCTTCTTTCCCAAGGGCAAATGGCAGATGTCCGATGACTGGATATCATATGAATGACTGTGGGTATTTGTTATGCTTTTCTAATACATAGCAGGTTAGAGCTGAAACTCCTCATTTTAATAAATAAATAAGTTGTCCATACAACATGTGAGCTGCAAAACCAGGGCTATAACTTGTGATTTCAGATTCCCAATCTAGTTCTTTGTTGAGAGCTTCTACTTTCTAATAAATAGATAACAAAAGAGAGAGCTTGTGTTATAGGACTTAAAAAAAAAAAAAACAAACCCAGTTTAGAAAATGGTAAAACTATCTTAAAGGGACTGCTCAAAAGCATCATTATAGGTCTGGTTCAAATCCTGAAGCTATAATTTCAAAATTCCGCAATCCTTGGAAAAGATACATAGCCATTCTGAGCTGTGGTTTCCTTTATTGTATAGCCAGGGTTAAAATAACTATAATGCCTATATTTTAGGCCTATTGTGAGGATTATATAAGATTATATATGTAAAAAGCCTAGTCCAGTGATTAACACAAAATAAATACCAGTAATATTATTGTACTCTTCTTTCCTTCTTCAGGCCAGTGGTATATGGTAGAATGATGAGAAAAGCCTTATAAGTAGACCTCTGGAATGGTGTAGACCACTGGTTTTCAACGTTTTCTTCTGCTGTAACACATGCACAAAACGTATGTGAAGAATCACCACAGGCCTGGCATAGAGTGATCAATATATAATGGAATGACGGTGGTGATAACTGTGGTGGTGATGACAGAGGTGCTGATGCTGATGGGTGGCACGCACACACCACAGATGAGCCTTGGGCTCTGAGTAACACCAGAGCTTCAGCCTGGATTGCACAGCTTTCTTTTCAACATTAGAGAGGAAATCAGAATGTTACTGAGCAGGAAGAATGACATTATAAGTGCAACTGCACTCATTTAAATTAAAAAGAAAACAATCTGTGGACTCCAGTGCTTTCTTACTGGTAACAAATTACTGGCAGCATACCAGTTGGTCTAGAAGATGCCATCTTTCCTGGAGGAAGATGATTTTGGAAAATGTTTTACATCACAGCTCTGGAACTAGACCCCAGAGGTTTGAATTCTGGCTCATCTATCTGCAGTGACCTAGGGAAGTGACAACTATTCTTCATCTGTCTTTCCTCATCTTGGATTGAAATAATAATGGTATCCACTTCATCAGATTGTTGTGAGGATGAAATGAATGAACACATGTAGATTACCAAGAAAAGTGTCTGGCATACAGTAAGCACTCATTAACAATTAGTCATTATTAGAGGTTTTTGTCTCTGAGCTATTTGACAGGGCAGCATCCTATCTTGAAATTCTCCCTACAAATTGCTAATATTGAAGTTAGTTGTGGTGCCATTAATACATAAAACTGATTTTTCATTTTAATGTAAGGAT